GAGAGCCATTAGTCTGTAAAGTTTTGTGGCTACTGGAAAAGGAAGTCAGAAAATATGTGTTGAAAATATAATCTCAATTTGAGGGCTAGAAATATGTACACAGTATTATAGAAACACAGGTAAGAAATAAGATGTACTTTAACCATCTTGGTAGGTTTTTGTTTTTTTGGCAAGGGGCCTTTGAGAGGAGATTTTCTTGTTATAATGGTAGGCTTAGGAATGAACTGTGTGATGATCCTGAACATTCCAACTTCAGTACAAGTTATTTTGGTCCTGAAGCAGTAAGGTTCCCTGACATAACTGTATTAGAGAAGTAAAGAGAACTGTGGTCCATGTTTTCTTAAAAGAAGTGAAGTTTTTGTGAACATGGGGGCTTCCTCACAATGCTATAAGGTTGGGAGAATGTTAGGTAGGGCCAGGACTTCTCAGACAATTTTCAGGTTGAACAGAAGTACTGTACATTGTCTTATACTGTTTAGTTTCTTCACAGGCCAGAAGCATAGATTTATACTTTGAATAGAAAGACAAATATTAAAAAATGAGTAAAAATTACTCTCAGACTCACTTCTATCTGATGGACTACTGACTGTACGAGCCAGCTTTCATGAGGCCGTGCTGCTGTCTAAATGACCTCCAAAATCGTAGTGGCTTGCAAAATGTGTTTGTGTCGCACTGACACTGCATGCTAACTGGCTATAGTTGTGATACTTTTTCACCCTCATTCAATGGCTCCAGGATGAAGAATCCATGGCTTTCCTGGAATAGGTAGATTTGTAGAGCAGAGAAACACAAACAATGGTAGAACCATATAATAATTCCTAAAGCTTTTTTCCAAAGAACGTAGCACATGCCACTGCCACTCCTAGTTGTGCAAGGCAATTTCTGTGGCCAAGCAGTGAAGGGCCGCAATTGTTAGAAACAAAACAATGTACTGTAGCTACAAACTCCTATGGCTACTAGCTGGTGGTTCTGAAGATGAAAGACCAAAAAGAGATGAAAATGGCTTATCATTATAACTTTTTAAAATTTTTATTTATTTTTGTGTATTTAGGACAGGGTCTACGGAGTCTACAGGGGCTCACTACATAGATCGGACTCATAGTGATTCTCCTGTTTTCAGTTTCCCATGAGCTGGGATTACCAACGCGTGCAGCCATGTCCAGTCTCAATTGCTGTGTCAGAGTACCCCAGAGGCGGATCAAACCCTGGCCACTGCACTCTGCCTAAGCAGGCGCTTTAGTCTGTTGAGCTATCAGGCAGGCCCACATTATCATTATAACTTTTAGCAGGCAAAACATAGGATTAATCTGGTCAACAAATACAGAAGAAGAAATCAAAATTTATTGACAAAATTTGAAATTGTTAGAAACAAAATTGTCTACTTTGAGGAAAACTTTGATGACCTTCCTGCCAAAACATCAGTCTGACTATTGAGCTAAACAACCAGAAGAGTGCCTTAGTTTGGACAGAAGTCTACTGAAGCACAACAGACTTTTGATGTGTCAGTCTTAGGCCTGGCTGATCACAGATGTATGTAAAAGGGAACAAGGATCAACCACATGGGATCATCATAGGATCTGGCATCAGTGTTCCCCTTGGTGTGGTTTTTGCTCACTTAGCATCCTCAAAAATCATATTTACCTGTTTTAAGTTTACCTCAGAGGTTGTCTTGTCCAAGAAAGATTTCTGGATCTTTCTCATCATTATAAATCATGCCTTTCTTAGATGGAGTGGTAACTGCATTTGTATTCGGCACGCTTCTTATAGCTTTGCATTGCAGTTCTTCATTTATTCTCCCTGCTGTACTCAGAGAACTGTGGATTTCCAGAGGGCAGCAAGTGTCTTGTTCTGGTTGGAGTCTTCCATAGAGCCTGGTGCAGAGGAGAGCTCTGGAGGGAATGCAGCTGGCCCTCGTTGAGGCTCACGAATGGCAATCTGGACAGCAGGCATCTAAGGCCCGAACGATTAGCTCTGCCCTTGGTGGGTTCCCAGACTGAGGGATGCATGTGTGTGGCAGAAGACAATAACTGTGTTTGTGATGACCTAAGGTCCAGTCTCACCAATGCACCAAGGACACTTCTAGGTAAAGCAGCTAAATGGTGAGGAGAGATTGGAAGGAGAGGGTTGGGTAGGTACAAGGCGCTGTGCGTGGCGCTTAGTGTCTCTATTGCTGACATCTAGATTAGTTTGTCCCTTTTAGGTATTTCTATTTATATGCTCTCAGAGTCAAATGCTAATTAATTATATAGGTCTTAGTTTAAGAAATTGCAGTGATGATGTGATTCGACCTTAGTTATGCAAACAGTGAAAATGAGCAATATGAGGATAATTAAAAGATTAAATTAAACATTAGGTTGAAAAGGATTAAAATCATATAGAGAGTTATGTGAAATAGTTATGTTCATAATAGAGAGCATGAATATTTTTAGATTCTCCAAATTTAGATTTAGATATGCTTGTTCTATTTTGTATATCAGAGAAATGTCCTATATCTTTGATTGATGTGTTTAGATTTTATGGTGACAGACACGTTATAATAACTAGAAATAGAAATCTCATCCTTGATGGTAATATAGTGCAGGGAACTAAGAAGAGAAGGTCTTAAGGTGCTGTTAATTAGCAGCAATCTGCAGCACATAGTCTCAAAGCAATTAAAAATGTTAAATGAATATTTGGATGCAGAGTGGAATGGCTCATATGGGGGTGGGCAGGGCACCCTAGGATTGTTTATAGTACTTACATGAAACAAATTATGTTCAGAAATCCAAGAAGACCAAATATAGGTCAACACATGTTTGTCTAGTAGGCAACTACATTTTTTTTTGGTGGAACCGGGGATTGAACTCAGACCCTTGCATTTGCCAAGGAAGCACTTATTCCACTGAGCCATCTCCCTGGTTCCAGCAACTACATTTTTGAATGGCAATGTATTGTTAGTTGTATTGTCTATTAGCTGAAAAATCTAATATAAACTAGTCAGTCTTTCATCCTATCTTTTGTAAATGTAGTACTCCATTAATTTACAGAAAATTCAGTTAGTTTGCAACGGAGATTTTTGTTGTCTTCTAGTTCAGTAAACATATCGATGTTTAAGTGATAATATAAGTGCCATCAGGGTTGCACCATGGCTACAATGCCACAGCTACACACATTTGGGGATCAAAGGGAATGAATATTGCTTCTGTGCTGAGAATGGCGAAGTGATTTGCTATTGAGATGCTCCATGAGACTTTGTGTTGGTTTCACTAGTTGAGGTGTTTAATGACTCCATGAGCACACTGCTAAAAGAAAATAAAAACCAATTCAACATTGCAAACAAGTTTTCAAGTAAGGAAAAAGAAATGATATATGCCTTTCTGGAGAATGTAGGTGGTGATGGCTAACACTTTTGGTAGCGCTAGCTAGTTTTAATAGCTGTGGCTTCTAGTAGGCTTCTGACAGCCTCAGGCACAGTCAGGTGCAAATAAAAGGTGGAATAGCCACTAAAAAAGTCCCACAAGGCAGTGAATGAAGAATCAATTTAGTCCCTCTAACCTGGTCCTCTGAATGGTGTAGCCAGTGTTAGGCTCATTGTGTTAAGGAGAAAGAGAAGTCAACAAGTGCTTGAAAACTAACTGAGGGTTATCTCCAAAGATAAACCTGGCTGGTAGTTTTCACCTAACTTACTAAACTTTTCAGAAAGTGGTGGAATTGGCTTGAGTATTTTCTCTCTTTCAGCTCCAATCCTCTTCCCAGAAAAGATGGCTGTGATGTGGCTTTTCATTTCATTTATTTATTTATTCATTTATTTATTTTTTCTGGTTTTATATTAGTACTTTTATTTATTTTTTAATTTACTTAAGTTTATTGGTACAATGTAGGCATATACAATGGTCACATTCATCATAGGAAATTGGCTTTTAACAAAAGTAAGGGTGCTAATCAGGGAGTTGAAGAGGAGCACAGAACCCTAAAATTCTTAAGCTATCAATCTCTCTCCGTATTTCAGGGGGTAAGCATTCATAAAAGTGGCATGATTTAGGAAAAACAGGCTGGCTAAGGGCTAGCAGACATTCCGGTGTGTCACACAGCATATAAAAATAAATTACGTTTAAGGCAAGAATCTAAGCTTATTAGGCAAATACGTCCTCTAAATAGGTGGATAAATGAAGGCCTTGGGGCAGGGGCTGAAGTCATTAACAGTGAACTGGGACGCCTGTTTATGAGAAATAACAGTGTGACCTCTTTGGATCTGGAAAGTTCCTCATTGTTACGCAATGTGTGTGTTTCGTTATTTACACGATTGTAGTAGGCGCTGGGGAGCTGTGTACACAGCAAGGTGAGCCGGTACAGCACCCCAGACTCTGAGACTCGAGCCAAACACCGTTTCCTCAATACTTTGCACTACTTTTGTCCTTGAAATAATACTTCATGCAAAAATTTTCCAAAATGTATATTCCACATTAGAACAACTTATGTTCCTTAAATGTTTTTAAGAGCTACAGTACAAATTTCTTGGAAAAATTTTCACTCTTTTCTACGATGCTATAAGGACCAAATACAAAGTACACACTAAATAATGAAAAGGCAATGCTTGGAAAATCCTTAATTTTGTTGTAGGATCTTACACTTTTCTCCCTTTTTCTCCTACACATCGCAAACCACCTTTCTCTTTTGCAACTCCCTCTTTGCTATTTTCCAGGAGTTAAGGTGAAAATAAATAAGGGACAGGAGTTCCTGGCCTAGGCTGGGGTGTGGGACCTGGGGGCTGACCTTGGGTGACTGGGGTTCTGGAAGGGACGCGCCGACCCAGGCAGGAGCAGTACAGCTGGAGCTGGAGGTCAGGACGGTGGGCGACCTTGAGGGGAGGTCTGGGGAGCCGGCGCTGCTCAGGTTCCGGGCGGTGGTCCCGGGCCCGGTTCTGCGGTCCTTTCCAGGGTGCCCGGGCCTCGAGCGAAGGGGGCGGGTCCTCGCGTGCCAGTCCCGCCCCGACCGGGTTTATAACTCGCCGCCGCCGCTGCCTCCCTGCGCCAGGTCCCGGACGCGCTGCCCGCAGGTCGTGCAGAGCGGGGCACCGGCGCCCACGGCCACGGCGCGCGCTGTTCCTCGGCTTCTCCCCGCGCGCTGCAGCTCCCGGGGGCGGCGCACCGGACCCTCAGAGGCGCGGGCACCGCCGGTGACGGCGCAGGGACCGCCACGGCCTCCTCATGGCTGACCTGAGCTTCATCGAGGACACCGTCGCCTTCCCCGAGAAGGAGGAGGATGAGGAGGAAGAGGAGGAGGGCGTGGAGTGGGGCTACGAGGAAGGTAACTGCCGCGTCCGCGCGCCCCAAGCGGCCTTGAGCCCTGCGCCCGGCAGGATCCGAGCGCCCTCCGCGCCGTGTCCGCGGGGCCTCGGTCCCTGCCCTCGCCCGGGCGCTGCGGGGGTTCGGAGCCCGCGAGCGGTCCAGCCCCGCGGTGCCCGCAGGAGCAGCAAGAGAGCGGTACAGGCCACCGTCCCATGGACACGACTTGGTCCGTGAAACTAGTTTTCCAGAAGGATGCTAGCAACGCTCAGCTCCTTCCAAAAAACGACTCTTCGGTTCCAAACTGCATTGGGGGTTGGCGAGAAAGGGTTGAGTTTTAAAAAGAAACTTAGTTTGCTCAGTTTATCCCTGAAGACATATGTTTCCCAAATGATCAACCATTAGTGCTGTTGTTTACGACGTACACTGAACTAAATAGAAAGTGCACAATTTCTGTTATGGAGGTTAGAAATGCATAGTAGGCGTGGGCACATTGAGCGTGTTTGCATTTCTGATAGGTGTTCTAGCATCAGAATTATAGTTTGGCTCTTATGAAGCCTGTGGAAGTTGCAGCTGTTTCCTAAGTACTGAACGTAAGTGAACTAATGAGCAGAGGAAATTTTTGTGGCGTTTTATTCTAATCAGTTAAAGATGACCTCAGTTTCCTAGAGCTGTAAATTATTACGTCTATGTAGGCAAATACCAGCGAGTGGAATATTTCGTTATTCCAGGATGTTGTGTGTAGTAGTAATATTATTAGCTCATTCATGTAATGAATGTAAAAATCTACACATGTTCTCCATATTTCATCTGTATAACAGTGATACTCAAACCTCTCTTCAAGGTTTTAAAGATCAGCAAATTGAACTAGTTTTTTTTTGCTTGTTAAATTTTACTGTAAATTTTTCTTGTCGGAAACCTGTCCTTAATTTTGTTTTTTTCATTTTGTCCTTAGGTGTGGAGTGGGGCTTGGTGTTTCCTGATGCTAATGGAGAATATCAGTCTCCCATTAACCTGAACTCAAGAGAAGCTAGATACGATCCCTCTCTGCTGGATATCCGCCTCTCTCCAAATTATGTGGTCTGTCGGGACTGCGAGGTCACCAATGATGGGCATACTATTCAGGTTATCCTGAAATCCAAGTCAGGTACTGTGGAGCACATGCTCGTATACTTTTGTAAGCTAGAAGTCATGAAAGAGCTGATGAACATTGATCTAACTTGTGTGATTTTAAAGGTACAACTAACAGTTATGGTTTTTTTCAGGACATCTTTGTAAGTTATAAGAAGCATTTTGAATTATTTTCTGAAACAATTTGGAAAGAACAAGAAGATGAAATTTTGAAGATGTCAGGTCACTGTTTTTTGATATTACTGGAACCACCTTAGTTTGATGAACTTACTTCTCATGAACTGTGAGGGAAAGTGTATGAGGATGTACTGGTCAGCATTTGGTTCTAAGTTGCTGATTAACTGAAATCATTTAAATAATTACAAGTTTCTTTTATTACTTTTTGAAACCAGGGATTAGGATTTATTGACACAGTCTTCCATTCAAGATAGACTTTTCAAATTAATTTTCTCTACTATGTTAATAGGATAAGAAGAATTTTGACTAATAGCAATTAAAAAATCTTCTAAACTCAGTTGCTTTTATTTTTAATTCAATCTTTCCCTTATAATTTGCTTAACACAGATCTGAACTACTTTGTGGAATATGATAATTTCCAGGAAAATTGAATTTTAGCTTTAGTGTAGGGGAGAAGAAAGCAAGCATTTTTAGAAAGTCATTAATATCATACTTTTCATAGTAATAACTTTTTCCCTCATATGGGGAAGTAAGAAAGATGTAGATGAGATATGTATATGTACCAGTACCACACAATAAATGTTTATAATATATTATAAATCTATAACAATAATCAATGGGAAGAAATATCAATTAAAAAGAAGTGCAAACGTATAGTATTTTGAAATAGTGAGATGTGCTTGATAAACAGAGATTATGCTCAAATTAATTCTAAATTCATAAATTTAATATTTCAGACCATAAAGTCTCAGGGTCTACTATTAGGTGAGGTTGGTATTATTTCCAATGATAGATTTTTTTATTCATCATAAGTTTCTGCCCTTTAATTTGGAATCCATGAGCATCTGATTTGAATTTAAATCAGAATTCTCAGTGGGCTTTATCTATGATTGACATTGAAATTGTTTTGAGGTATAATTTTTATATGTAATGTAAAATTATCCAGTGATGACCTTCTTGGCATTGAAGTTCATTTTAAGGTACGATATCTGTGATATGTGACATGTGTGATAAGAAGGTTGACATGCCTATAGCCTGACTGGTGTGCCCCTTTGCACTTCTAAAAGTAAATGTTTATTTATAGATCTATAGAATAAAAATGTGTTTCCTGTTAGTCACCATGGCAAGTGCTGGCTGTGTACAAGTGGGTAGGCTAGCTTGTGAGGGGTCACAGTGGTGGGAAGGTGTACTTGTTCGGTTCTTCACACAGGAGTAAGTATGCTGTGGAGGTGTTGTGAAGTAATATGGGGAGACAGAGCAAGACTAAGTACAAATAAATGCTGCCCTGCAACAGTGCATCCAGTCCTGATGGAAGATCAAACTTACTTTGTCAATTGGGTTTATAATTGTCCTTTAGTATCTTCACAAATGTTCAAAGTTTTCTTTGGTCCCTTCAATTTATCCTAAAAAAGACTATCAAGCAATGTCCTCGCCCTCTAGCCTCAGGTATGTTTCTTTTTTTCCTCCTTTTCTCTGCCTTTCCACCTCCAGGACTCTGCGTTTCTATCTGCCTCCTGGGAGACCGCCTTCCTCTTTTAGATGTCCTATTATCAGTGCAATGATTTTCTCTCTTTCAGTACACCTGCAAACTTAAAAAGAGGCAAACCAGTAGTCTAATTCTTTTTTTTCCAGAATATTTAAGCTTTCCTAAGAAACAATCTATAAATGCTGAATATCCTGTCATTCTTTTACATGGATAAAGTTCTATCTCTATCAAAATACCATATAAACAATATAAATAATTGAATTACTACATTTCTCTTTGCCTCTAGTGACAACTACTTTGGGCCTTTTCAGCTATTGCTCTTGCAGTTACCTCCATAGCTCTTAATAAGATCCTGATGGCATTTCACTTTGATATTTAAGATATCTGTGAACAGTCTACTATGGAAACCAAGGTCAGCTGTCTTACTGCACTCCCTCTTGTGGTCTGTCCCCATCATCATCCTTAAATTACATTTGTATTTAAATGAACACTTGGTGTTTTTATTATCATGACTCTGTAACTGACATTTCTACCTTAGACTATATTCTGTCCCTTTTATTGAACAATGTTTCTTTTCCTGGAGTTAATATATTTTTATTTATTTTTAAACTTATCCATCACACGTTATTTTTTCACTGACAAGATGACGGGTGCTCTATCAGGATGTTCAAAGGCATCAGATAGTCTAGTCCCACCTCTAGCTCTTTCCTCCTTCTGTCTCCTGGAGGCTGCTGTTTCCTCTTTGGACAGTATGCTCTCCAGGCTTTTTTTTTTTAAATAACCATCACCGGTTACTCCCTGGACCAGGCTCCCATGATCTCTCCTTGTTTATCTCCCTTGTTGGGTCTTGTCTTCCCAAATGCTATGTCCCCCTCCTTTGGAGTTGGTCTGCCATTTTAGAGTGTCTTGGTTTCCTTCCTGCTCTAACCAGTTCATCTCCACGAACTTTCTAAGCAAAAGGGCAGTGAGCGGCAGGTGTTAGGATGCCTTGTATGTCTGTTTGGCTTTTATTGTGCTGCACACTTGGTTGGATTTGCCTAGGAAAATGGTCAGTGTTGGAAGTAAGTTTTGGTACCATTTGGTGTTTGACAATTGTTTCATTGCTTTCTGACTTTCAGTCTTGCAGTGGAAAGATCTTGTGCCATCTGCTTTTCAACCCTTATGTGACTTTTTTTCTTTTATTCTCTCCAGAAACTTACAATTTTGAACTTCTGTTGTTTAAAAATTTTATGACCATATGCTTTAGTATGATTTTTTAACTTACTGTTCTGGGAAAAGACAAATTTTCTCATTATTTCTTGCATTGTTTCTTTTCTTTTTCATCTCTCCTTTACACCTAGTTTCTGTTTCTCTCTCTTCAACTTTCTAGTAGATTTCCCCAACTTATATTGTTCAGTTTTTCAATTGAACTTAAAATTTTTGATCTCATATTTTTAATTTCTAAAAAGAATGCTGATTCTATGAATTTAAACCAATGTAAAATAGAGTATGCAGAATGTGACAATGTGAGATCTTTCTTCATTTTTACTTGTGTTGCTCCTTTCATGTGTCCCTCTGTGTATCTGTCATCTTTCTACTTGTTTTGGTCCCTCTTTTTCATTTGGGATATTGTCCTCAACTGCCTAGTGAATTTCACTCTTGGTTCCTACTTCAGAATGGCTCTTAGTGGATATGGGTAGGGACTGAGGTCTAGTAGACCTTATAATTGTGTCGTAAACAGGGACCTGGCCTTGGCGGGAGGCATCTGTGTAAATTCACCAGGGCTTGCCTTCCTTTTGCCTGTATTTGGTCTTGAGCCAGGGCTTGGTTTGCAGCTGGTTGTCTGTGTTCTGACTGTTACCACAAGTGGTGAGCACCAGCACTGGTGTGCTTGCATTTCCTTTGTCTTCTGCTAGGGAAGTAAAAGAAAGCTGCCTAGCCACTGGGAATGGGGTCGGGAGGTGTAAA